CAGCTCAGGTCATGATCCCAGGGTCCTGGGATCGAGCCCCGCATTAGACTCCCTGCTCCACAGGAAGCCTGCTTGTCCCTCGCCCACTCCCCCTGCTTGTGTTCCCTCTCTCACTGTGTCTCTCTCTGTCAAATAAATAAATAAAATCTTTAAAAATAATAATAATAAAAAAAAGTCCCAAGTTCAGTCAGTGGCTTGTGCAGTGCACGTTGCAGTCAAGCTCATCCCCATTAGCGGTCAGTCCTGTCTCCCAGCCCCGGCCCCTGGCCGCCCCTAATCTGCCTTCCAACTCTGGGTTTGCCTATGCTGGGCATTTCATCTAAATGGAATTGTACGACGTGCGTCTGATTTCTTTCGCTGAGCATCTGCTTTTCCACGCTCATCCAGGTTGTAGCGTGTGTTAGAGCTTCATTCCTGTGTAAGGCTGAATTGTATTCCACAGGGCGAGTGGACACAGTATGTACGTCCATTCATCCGGGCGTGGGTACTGTGAACATCCGTGTACAAGTGTTTGCCTGAATGTGTTTGGTTCTTTTTTGTTTTTTAAAGATTTTATTTGAGTCCCACATTGGGCTCCCTGCTCGGCAGGGAGTCTGCTTCTCCCTCTGACCCTCCTCCCTCTCATGCTCTCTGTCTCTCATTCTCTCTCTCTCAAATAAATAAATAAAATCTTTAAAGATTTTATTTGAGAGAGAGAGAGAAGGAGAGAGCGCACAAGCAGGGGGAGGGTCAGAGGGAGAAGCAGGCTCCCCGTGAGTGCGGAGCCCCACGTGGGGCTTGATCCCAGGAGCCGGGATCATGACCTGAGCCAAAGGCGGACGCTTCACCGACCGAGCCACCCAGGCACCCCTGAATGTTTTTAATTCTTGAGTGGAACTGCCAGGCCACATGGCCCATTTTTGTTTAAGGTGTCGAGGGACCACCCCCTCCATTGTTTGAAAGTTCGCTTTGGAGACCCCCTGGCCTCTGGCGTGGCTGGCTTGTTTCCCAAAGCTCTTGCCGTGGGTGTGCTAAGAACAGGTTGGTCCACACGGATGTGACCCCCTAATGGACACATGCACCGTCACTTATGGACAGCTGTCATTTGTTTAACCTGTGGGTAGAGGGTGGTAAGGTCCTCTGTGTTGGGATAGAGAGGTCATGACATCTCTAGCCAGGGTGGGCCTCGGGGTCATAGCTCTAGTCTTCATTTCTCCTCGTAGCCCATCAGCCAGCTGGGCCTGCGGCCGCACCTGCCCACATCACCATCCACTGAGGGTGGTCCTGAAGGTGGATGGCTCTGACGACAGTCCTAGGTCAACGGTATGGTTGTGGGGCATCTGGGTGGCTCAGTCGGTGAAGCATCTGCCTTCGGCTCAGGTCATGATCTCTGGGTCCTGGGATCGAGCCTGGCATCGGGATCCCTGCTCAGCGGGGAGCCTGCTTCTCCCTCTCCCACTCCCCCTGCTTGTGCTCGCTCTCTCCCCCGCCCAACAAATAAATAAATAAAATCTTTAAAAAAAAAAAAAAGCTACAATTGTTAAAAGATGATGTGTTTGAGGAGCAGGCCACCAAGATCTAGTGGTTTGGGGAGGGGAAAGATCATTCAAAGGGAAAATAAATTCAAAGACATAGGAGGGACCCGAAGCCAGGCACCAGGCTCTGCTGATAATGTGTCTTCAGTGAGTCGGGTAGCGATCTTGCCTTTTGGTTGCTGTGTGGCTTCTTACATTTTGCTTGAAGTCATATCTGATTTTGAGTAAGTGGTGGGAGGAGGATCGCCAACCTTTCCTATATTGGAAGGTCAGCCTTCTGACCTAGCTTTTTGGACATGTCCTTTCCCTTTTAAGCGCGCCTTTGGGGAAGAAATGCGACCTAACCAAGCACTTCAGTGTTTCCCAGTGAAAAGGATTTGCGGTTTTGCAATCCCAAAGACAGGCTTGCCTTCCTCGGCCCCCTGGCCTCATTGTGCCAGTGACAGCCCACTCCTACGGGCTCCCCTGGCGCTGGGATGGGTCCGGGGGCGGCGGGCGGTGGACAGGGCTAGGCATTTCTAACAAACGTCTCCTGGCTCTTCGCGAATATACCCTGCAGGTGGCGGGGACGGGCCACCCCTGTGGCAGCTTAGGGAGAAATAAAGCTCCTCGAGCCATTCTGGGAACATTTAAGCTGGGCAGGTGGGCTTTTCACTTTCACTGTCACGCTGAGCAGATCCTTCGCCCTCTTCCACCCTCTCTTGAGAAGCTGCACGTGTCCAGTTGAATGAGCTGAACTCGGGAGGCCTCCCAAAACCGCGGGGCAGTGTTTGGCCATTGTTTGTCTTCACTCCTAGGAATGCGAGGGAGTTTCCAGAACCCACTGTGCATGCTTCTACGATGCAGCACTTCATTCTTCCACGGTTGTATAAAGATAAATAAATAGCTTCAGGGCACTTTGCCTTCTAGTGGCCCAGATGGAAGACAAAGGTGGTGTTCTCAGGGGTTTCCATCGACGCTCAAGGGCCGGAGTCTGTCCCCTTGGCTACAGAGAGCAGTCACCTGGGAACATTACCAGATGTGGAGACGGCGTCCTCCTCCGGAGGGCCGGCTTGGGTTGGCCTGGGCGGGAATCAAGCGTCAGAATTATTTTAAATGCCCCCCCATACGTGGAACTCCGGGCTTGAAACCTGCGTCTGTGCTCAGCGTGGTCATGAGTTTGGGGGCCCTTGGGAAGTTGTTAAAAAAATGCCAGGCTCTGGGCCTCAGTCCCAGGGAAGGGGTGAGGTCTGCGTGCCAGGAATTTCAATGCCATGTAAATGTGCAGCCAAGTTTGAGAACCGTTGTTCTTGTACTTGGGGTTCTGCCTGGGCGTACACCCTGCTCACCTGGAGGGCTGACCCCCGCTCGCTGAGGCGGGAGAGCCCCGCCTGAAGGTGGTTCGGATACAACCCGTTTCCAACCCCGTTGTGGAATTTGGAAGCTGTTTGGGAGTCTCGTGCCGGGGACCAGGGTGGTGACGCCTGGTCTGGGCTGTATTTCGACAGCGCAGAGGAGGGGCTGGGACCCCAGCTTGTGAGTTGTCAAGCTCCTCACCTGTGGACAAGATCAGACAGTCCCCTCGAGAGGTCTGAATCGCCCTCGTGGAGTGTAAGGAAGATACGACGATTGGTGTATTTACAAACAGGTGCAGACTTGCCAAGGGGCTTCTGGGTTTTTTTCTTTTTAATCCAGTTTTTTAGTGAGTAATCTGAGCAGGTCACATCCTGCACCTCTGTTGACTCAGTGGCAAATTGGTGACCACCATGCTGATCTCCCAGGTCAGGCTGAATTTAGTCCTGGTGCCAAGAGCTCTGTGGGCACCCCACGGTCTTGGCCTGAATCCTCTGCTTCCGTAGGGGCTCAGTGGGGGCGTCCGGGTACCCGAGACGAGGACTGTCCTCAGCACCCGGTAATTTCCCTGCCCTGGCCCTCACCACACCTTCTGGTGACGGCTGGTGTAAGTTGCATCCACCATAGACCCGTGACTGGGCGTGCTGGGGGCTTCTGTCCTGGTGCCGTGAGCTCTGCGGGGCCCAATCACAGCTGGGCTCCATCCCTACATGTCCCCTGAATGACCGAATGACCCAGCCTGCAAACTCCTGCACCCCACACTGAATCCGAGCCTCCCGGAGCCTGGCTAAGGCTGAGCTGACCCAAGGTTTGCAGGCTCAGCGGGTTATCCTGTCCTTGAACCCCAGCACCGCCCCTTCCCTGGGAATAGTGAATTTGCAAACATGAGACACGCGGGTGTTTGGGAAAGGCAGCAAGGGGGCCTCCCGGGAACACCTGCCCTGCTGTAAGCCTGGGTAGGGGAGCCCCAAGGCCCAGGGTGTGACCAGTTGAAGACCTGTGAACGCCCAGCAGAAGGGCCGTTGTGGTCAACGGGAGGGACAGGCTCACAGCACTCGGCAGAGGAAGACCGACCTGGCCCGACCCTCTGTGGGGACTGGGATTGTGGGTGGATGCGCGGGTCACCGGGGATTTTTGCGCATTTTGTGGTCCTGGGTTGCCGTGTTTTCTGCATTGATTGCAACGTCCTCTGTGACTGTGTGGGGCTGCTGAGGTCCCGGGGTCTTGGCTACTGGCTGGGAAGCAGCAGGGAGCAGGTGCATCTTAGCAGGTGGGCAGAGAGGGGCAGGGGTGTGTCTGAACAGGGGTGTAGGGCTGGGGCTGTGCAGGGAGGGGCGGGGATGGGGGTGTCCGGGGCTCAGCACCCAGGCCCGTGGCCTGTGGGATGCCCCCAGAGGGAGCCTAGGGCTTGTTCCCCCTTCTCCCCGTGGTCCTTCTCAGAACGGACCCCTCCCCATGGAGGGCTGAGTGCACGCATTGTGCTGCTTTAGCTCGAGCCTTTCCTGCCTTCATTTGGTCTGTTTCCCTCTTTCCCGGATGTGACTTCTTCATTGAAAAAGAAAAACGGGGACACGGCCAGATGGAGGTAGCCGATTCTTTCATACAGTTCGGAGAATAGGTTTGAAGTATTTCGCTCTTCAACTCAAGTGAAGTCCAGGCATCTTGTTTTTCTGACTTTAAAAGTGGTACATATCAGAGCACAGACCGCGGTCCAGCGTCGCAGCCACCAAAAGGCCACCAAAAATCCTCCGTGCACACTCAGCGAGGGGAGGGCGGGCTCCATCCTGACCTCAGGGTCTCGCCCTTGTGCTTCTTGAGCACCTGCTGTGTGCGAGGCACCGGGAACCAGATGCACACAGATCCCTCCTGGGAATGATGCTGGGAGAAGCGGGAAATGAACAAAAGTGGGTTCTGATCGTGACAGGCTGGGACATCACACTCCGTGACAGAAGCCAGAGAGCAGAGGACACCCGGTGGATGATTCCGTTTATAGGAAACGTCCAGAACCGGCAAGACCAGAGGTCGCCAGGGGCGGGGGGAGGGGAACGGGCAGTGGTTGCTGTAATGTTCTGGAACTAGAAAAAATAAGAGTGTCAATTTGGGAAATTGTAGTCAGGTTTTAATTAAGGCCTCTGTCCTCTGCTGTGGGAAAAGCAGCTGCAGCCCACGCGTTTCTCCCGTCAGGCTCCTCGGGGGACGAGCCGCTGGGTGGAAGGTTCCGGAAGCTGAGCCTCGGGCAGTATGACAACGATGCTGGGGGGCAGCCGGCCTTCTCCAAATGTGGATGGGGAAAGACCCCCGGTGCGGACCAGGCCACAGGTCTGGCGCCTTTCCTGTCTCCAGCAGACGCCAAGGAGGTAGGCACCACCCCTTGAGCTGGACCAGCGCCCTTCCCGATCGAGGTCCTGTTACCACCCCGCCTCCCTCCCGTCTCGCAGGCAGGGGTGTGGTTGGGAGAGCCCAGGTGTGCAGCCCTACCCAGAAGGCACGGCGTGGCCACCGTGGGCTCCGTTGGGCCTCCGCTCCTGGACTGCGTGATGGGGGGAGGCGGGAGCATGCAGGTGGCTCGCGGGTCCACGGCGGTGGCCAAGGGGACACGGACTTCCCCAAGGTCTTAGGCCACGGGAGGGAAGCGGGAAGAAAGTGGGTCAGCGTGGCTGTGGGCCCCGTGGTGGGATCCACGGAGCGTCTTCTAGGCTTTCATCAGAACGCAGTAAGATAGGTCGAACCCCGAACGATGGGCCCGTCCCCATTCGTGTTTTCATCGTGGTCGAGGCAGAAAGTGGGAGCCCAGAATAGCTTAGAAAAGTGACACCTGGATAAATCCTTCTGTGTTTTTCTCTGTGCTGTGGTCTCACTGCCTGTGAGCACACACACCACAGGCAGGGATGATTTTATCCTGTTCTCCACCGGGTGCCCGCCTCCCCACGGCCGGGCCATCTCTGCTGGCTCCGCGCGGTAGCAGGTGGATGGACCGCGGGGACTCCCTCTTCCTTTGAGTTTCTGAAGCTCTTCCCAGTGGCCGCCAGTGGCAGGGCCGTGCATGGGGACCCGGCCCCCTGTCCCCGCACCGTGGGTCAGCCCGGGCCCGCCGTCAGGAGGTGGCCTTCACCCGACTCCCTGTGCCAATTCCAGACGGTGGCCGCCGCGTACCCCCCAGACCCCAACGGGATCAGCAGCAGGACCTTCACTCCAACCAAGGGTGGCTCTGACTCGGCCTCTCCCACGCCGGCGTTTCCCGTGTCTCCAGAAACACCGTATGGTAAGCCAGAAGCCAAGCCTGCAGCGGACAGCGGCACCCCTTCGGCGAGGACACGGCAACAGAACTTTGCTCTTTCTTTTCCAGTGACGACACCCCCACATTATCCGCCGTTCGCCCCACCTGGGCTGCAGGGGGGCAGCGCCGGCGGTCTGTACAGAGGAGCTCACGGTAAGAATCCCGCCTTTCCTCCTCTCCAGCATCTCATGCAGGCATGTTTCTGTGGGCGCCACATCTTGGACGCCTCCGAAGTGAGGAGGGCTCTTGCCCGGGGCGTGCGGCCCGCTGGGGGTTAACCGCAGCCTGCATCTTGCGGGCGCACTTCTGTGTATCCTCACATCTGCCCGGCGGGCAAGGGGAAGGGTCGTGGGCGCTCGGGGCACAGTGTCCATGGTTTCAGCTCCTCCTACTGTGTCGTGGAGCTGGAAGAAGAAGCTGGAATGCCTGCCCTGCCCTTTACAGAGGAACTGGGGCTTGCGGGGTCAGCGGGCTCTCTGCTCTGTGCTTCAGGGCCGCCCGAGATCCCCGCCCATGGTCCTGGAGCTCCCCAGGGGGTGATGACCTCTGGGATGGGGGTGCTGCGGCCCTTGCACACTTCCCCATCCTCGGCATGGTGCTCGAGTGCCCACGGGCCGAGGGGAGGGGACAGCAACCGGCAGCAGCCATGGGGCCAGTCCGCATCCCTTCCTGGGGACATCCCCCTCTTGCCTTGAGGGCCCAGGACAGCCCGACCTCAGGCACGGGGAGAGGGGATGGAGCCGAAGCCCTGTGTGCATGTAAAACCTTTCTTCTCTGTGCTTGTAGATTCTTTCTGGTGCTGCCTCTCTGGGGAAGGCCCGTGAGGGTTCTGTGAGGGGCCATCAGGCACCCGGCGGGGGTCGTAGTGACGACAGCTGGTGCCACGTCCCTTCTTTCCCCAGAGAAAACCAGATCTGTGTGTTGTTTACAGGAAGGGCTGTCCTTGTCGCAAAGGTGGCTTTCATCAGAACACAGTAAGATGGCTTTAGACCATTCACGCTTCTCTTTACTCGCAGAGCAGAGCGGTTAAACCGCCGGCCTCCCTTGGCGGGGGTGGGGGTGGGGGGTGGGGCTGACACGTGGGCAAAGGGAGGGTGTGCAGTATGGTTGCATGAGTATGTGCACTCTGGAAGCGTCCCACGGGAGGAGACGCCTGTCCCAGCGTGTGTCAGCGTGGAGACGCACTCACAACGTCGCGTGTCTGTTCTGCATTGGAACCATGTAGGCGGCAGCAAACACAGGGACACGGCTTCTGCCTCCACTCGTCCCCCCCTCCTCCCTGAGCCGACCCCGTGTTTAGACCAGCTTTGTGCGACACATGCTGGTGATGGCCGTGGGACATGGATGATGAGCCCAAGGAAAGAAAATACCGGAACAAACCTTCAGAATGTAGGCCCAGCAGAGCGCGAGGGCCCTGCTTGCGTGGGGCGGTCCCGCGTGCTGGGCGCACCCCGGGCGGTGATTGCAGGAGCTCATGTGTAGGTGACATTTGCCCCATGGTCTTCACAGCATGATTTCTCTCCTCTTGTGGTCACATTACAGGGGCCGCTGTCCCTGTCGTCCCACTCACAGGTGGGGAAACGGACACAGAGAAGTTCAGCATACTGCCCGAGCCACACAGCAGGCAGGGGGCAAAGCCAGGACTACACGCCGGTCAGCCTCATCCCCCAGCCAGGGGCGTTTTGTTCCACATTGTCAGGTAGACAGGGCCTGGATTTAAGTCCGGTCATGGAATAACTGTGCCTCTCATAGTTAGTGACCCTCTGATCCTGTTTCCTCGTCTACCAATACAAGAATGCCTCATCTGTGACCAGCGTGCAGGGGTGGGGTGGGATGTGCTGGCATCTAACGTAGTGCCTGGCTCTGTGTCATTGAGCACCAGGTGCCACCGTGTGTATACATGAGAGTATTTCCTTTGAATCCCTGTCAGGAGGGTGGCGTTGGCCTCCTCGCATGGAGTAGACCTAGCCTTCCCTGTCCCTCCGCCCCCGAGAAGTACAGCCACACACCTGGCGGTATGTCAAACAGATGACAGAAGGCTGAGCCCTGGAGGAAAGAAGCAGACCTGGATGGACCACATCCTGGGCCGTGGAACAGGCTTCTGCAGAGCAGAGAGAGTGGATGCCATGCAGGGAATCCAACCAGAAACCAGTAACGGGAAGGTAACAGGAAAATGTCCAAATGCCTGCAAGTGAAGCGGCACTCTTGCAAATAATCCATGGGCCCAAGAGAAGATCTCATGGGAAATCACAAAGTATATTGAAATGAATAAAATGAAAGTAAAATATTTCATGAGTGGTAGGACAGAGCTCAGAGCTGAGAGAAACACTCATGACAGTAAACATATACATTGGAAAAGGAGAAAATCTGAAATTAAGAGTAACCCGAAGATGGCCAGAAGGAAGAAAATATTGAAAATACAAGCAGAAGTCACTGAAGTTATGAACAAGGAAATAATAGAAAAAATAAATGAAAAAAGAGCGGGTTCTTGGAGATGATTGAGAGAGTTGGCCAATCTCTCAGAAGAAGGACAAAAAATAGGGAAGAGACCAATTGCTAATACCAGGAATGAAAGGGGCCCCTCACCGAGCACCCTGCAGATAGGAAGAGGATGACAGCGCCACACACCATGGTTCACGGTGAGCTTGCACTGGGACACTCTTCCAGTGTGAAGTAGACACTTGGAATGCCTGGTAGCTAGTGAGGAAATTGACTCATAAGGTATACATTTTCCCCCCAAAGCAATCTCCAGGCCCCAATGGTTTCATTGGTGAATTCAACCAGACATGTAAAGAATTAACACTAATTCTACACAACCCCTTCCAGAAACTAGAAGGAGAGGGAACGTATCCCAGTTCATTCCATGGAGGCAGTGTTACCCTGGTACTAAAATCAGACAAAGACAACAAAAAGGGAACAATAGGCCTTTATCCCTTATGAATAGACACAAAATTCCTTAACCAAACCCAAGGAAATCGAATAATAGTGTATATAAAAAATTATACACTTTCACCAGGTGGGATTTACTCTAGGGATGCAAAGCTCTTTTGATGTTTCACAATCCATCAGTCACCCATCATATTTAATGGATAAAAAAGAAAAAAGCCATATGATTTTAGATCAATAGATGCAAAGAAAAAAATTTTTTGACAAAATTCACATCTGTTCCGACAAAAAACTCGCAGCAAAACAGCACAGAGGGGACCTTCTTAAACCTATAGAAAGAATCTACTAAAACCCTGCAGCTCACGCATAATGCTGAAAGTTCTACAGGATCGTCATACAAGAAAAGGAGATACAAGACCACAGAGTGGAAGGGAAGAAATAAAACTGTCACTTTTTGCAGATTTGTGATTTATCTATGCGGAAAATTCCAAGGAATCTACAAAAAAAAGCCTCCCAGAACAAATAAGGGGCGTCAGCTGGTTGTAGGACACAAGAGATACACACAAAAATCAATTATATTTCCATAGACTAGCAGTGAATGTGTACAGACCTAAGTTAAATATACAGTGTCGTTCATAATAGATCAAAAAAGCAAAATAATAAGGTGTAAACCTAAGAAAACATGCAAGACTCATTCATTGAAAACTCCACAGTGTCAGTGGGAGAAATCAAAGATCTAAATAAATGGAGCAGCATACCATGTTCATGGATTGGAAGACCCTGCTGAAGAGGTCAGTTCTTCTCAAACTGATGTATAGTTTTAACAGTTCCTATCAAAATCCCAGCAATAATTTTTATATAGACAAGATACTTTTAAAATTTATATGGGACTGCAAAGGAAGGAGACCAGCTAAAACAATTTTGAAAAAGAACAAAGTAGTAGGCATGGATTGACTACTTTCCAGACTTTCTAGGTAACCACGGTAATCAGGACTGTGTGATGTGGGGCAAGGGACGGACACAAGACCAGTGAAACAGAATGGGAAACCCAAAAACACACCCACACAAATTTGCCCAACTGATTTCTTTTGGAAAATGTGCAGAGCAAGCCAATGAAGGAGAAACTGTCCTTTCAACAAATGGTGCTCACCGTCCAAAAAAAAAAAAAAATCAACCAAAGTCTTATATCTTATACTAGAATTAACTTAAAAGAGATCATAAACAGGGCGCCTGGGTGGCTCAGTTGGTTAAGAGACTGCCTTCGGCTCAGGTCATGATCCTGGAGTCCCTGGATCGAGTCCCACATCGGGCTCCCGGCTCGGCGGGGAGTCTGCTTCTCCCTCTGACCCTCCCCCCTCTCATGTGCTCTCTCTCATTCTCTCTCTCTCAAATAAATAAATAAATAAAATCTTTAAAAAAAAAAGATCATAAACAAATATAAAACTGTAAAACTTTAAGGAAAAACACATAGCAGAAAATCTTTGGGATCCAGGCTACTCAAGAGTTATTAGACTAGCACCCAAAGTGCAATCCATAAAAGGGAAAATTGATGAAGTAGGACTTCACCAAAATTGAAAGAATTTTCTATAGGAGGAACCTGCTAAGAGGTGAAAGGGCAGACAGACCGCAGACCGAGAGAAAATTTTGCACTCCAAACACTCGGCAGTAAAGAAAGAAACAACCCGATCAGAAAGCAGGTAAAAGCCAGGAGGAAACCTCTTACTGAACAAGATGGACAGACGGCAGATGAGTACATGAAAGACACCCAGCGTCATTACCGCCAGGGAAATGCGAGCAATCACTACGGACCCAGCATAACGGGTAAAATAAAAAACGGTTTCAACACCAAGAGCTGGTGAGGATGTGGAGAAACTGGAACTCTCCTGTCCTGCTGGTGGGGGTGGGACACGGTGCAGCCTTTCCACGGGAGACAATCTGGCACTTTCTTAAAAAAAACCTACACGTGCTAATATATGTGATTCGACAAGGAGCCCTGAGTTTTTATCCTAAAGAAATAGATTGACACTCGCACCAAAGCCTGCACCCCGGTGTTTATAGGGCATCTCTGTATAATTCCTGACCTCTGCGTATGAATCCAGAATGACCTCAGACTCTCAAGTTCAGTGTTAGTCCCATTGGGGGAGCTGGTGGGGGTGTGGTCGAAACAGTGTTGGCTGCCAGTTGGACAAGCTGGGTGGAGTCTCCGTGGAGCTTTATCGTACTGTTCTGCCTACTTCTGGATGTGTGTGGGGTTTTATATGGTGAGG